TGTAAGGTTAGGTTGTTTATTGGAGATTTTTCTTGCTTCTTGAGGTAGGCCTGTATTGCCATAAACTTCCCTCTTAAAATTGCTTTTGCTGCATCCCAAAGATTTTGGACCATTGTGTTTTCATTTTTATCTGTTCCCATGTAATTTTTTTAAAATTTATTCTTTGATTTCTTGGTTGACCCATTCACTGTTTAGTAGTATGTTATTTAACCTCCATGTATTTGTGCTCTTTCCAGACTTTTTCTTGTGGTTGATTTCTAGTTTCATAGTGTTGTGGTCAGAAAATATGCGTGGTATGACTTTGATCTTTTTGAATTTGTTGAGACTTGTTTTGCGGCCTAACAGTGTGATCTGTTCTGGAGAATGTTCCATGTCAAGATCTCTGGCAATCCTGGGACACAACCCTACCTGGCAGAAGTTGATTAGAACTGAGAAGCAGGTCCCCCATTTAGGCAGGTGCACGCTCTCCAGTTTGTCACAGGTGCCTCCTTGCTCCCCTCCTCTTTATTACCAGTCTTTGTCATATAGGCATTTGAGCTTGGGACCCCTCCTCTATTCCGGCCTCTCCTTTTAGATTGAGACTAGGGTCTCAGAGGTCCAATTGCTTACTCTATTTGGTTGAACTAGTAAGAGACAAAGGCGGAGCTAGAATTCTTGTCTCCTGGGACATATCCTGTGTTCTTTCTGCTACCAGATGCTGCCTCTTCTTGAAAAATGTTTTGAGTGGCTCAGATGGTTAAGCATACAAAGATTTTATTTATTTATTTGAGAGAGAGAGCACCAGCAGGGGAAGTGGCAGACAGAGGGAGAAGGCGCAGCAGTCTTCCCAACAAGGAGGGAGCCCAATGCAGGGCTTGATCCCAGGGCCCTGGGATCATGACCTGAGCCGAAGGCAGACGCTTAACCGACTGAGCCACCCAGGTGCCCCTCTTTTTTTTCTTTTAGAATTATTTATTTATTTTAGAGAGAGTACATGAACGGGGGGAGGGGCAGAGGGAGCGGGATAAGCAGACTTCCCACTGAGCATGGAGCTCCATGTGGGGCTCCATCTCACGACCCTGAAATCATGACCTGAGCCAAAACCAAGAGTCAGATGCTCAGCCGACTGAGCCACACATGCACACCCCCCATAATATCTTTTATAGCAATTATTTTCTGGATCTAGGCCAGGATCAAGTTCATTTATTGTTAGTCACTTTAGCCTTCTTTAACCTGGAACAGTTCCTCAACCTTTCGTCCTTCATCCATGGGGCAGTTTTAAAGAATACAGTCTTTTTTTTTTAACATTTTTTTCTTAAGATATTTTATTTATTTATTTGACAGAGAGAGACACAGCGAGAGCAGGAACACAAGGCAGAGGGAGTGGGAGAGGGAGAAGCAGGCCTCCCGCAGAGGAGGGAGCCCAATGTGGGGCTTGATCCCAGGATCTGGGATCATGACCTGAGCCGAAGGCAGATGCTTAACGACTGAGCCACCCAGGTGCCCCAAGAATACAGTCTTTTATTTCTCCTGTATGTTTCTTCTTCTTCTTCTTCTTCTCCTCCTTCTTCTTCTTCCTCTTCTTCTTTTTCTTCTTCTTCTTCTTCTTCTTCTTCTTCTTCTTCTTCTTCTTCTTCTTCTTTTCTTCTTCTTCTTCTTCTTAAGATTTTATTTATTTGAGAGAGAGTGTGAGAGAGAGCATGAGAAGGGAGAGAGTCCGAGGGAGAAGCAGACTCCCCGCTGAGCTGGGAGCCCAATGTGGGATTCATAACCTGAGCCTAAGGCAGTCGCTTAACCAACTGAGCCACCCAGGCGCCCCATGTTTCTTCTTTTTATGTGGGTATACCTGTATATTTACACCTATTAACAGTATGGATGCATGGATTCTTCTTTTGTTCAGTTTGTTCAGTTCATCTATTATTATACTTACATACTGTGATATAAAAATTGTGTCAGATTAGGCCTCTTCAAGCTGGCTCCCATGTCTCTTTAATGCCCTAATACTTTTTTTTAGTTATTTTCTGGCACAACAAAATATTCCAAACTCCCCTGGTATCTTCCTTGCTCCTGTCCAAACTGGAATCAGTGAGGAGCCCTCAAGCGGCCCTGGGCCCTGGGATTTTTCTGTGGGATATTTAGAAACCAGGATCTGAGAACTAGGTATGTGTAGATCAATCAATCTATCATCTTTTTTCCCCCCATAAATTTTACACTGATATGTCCTGTTCCAGTCCAACTCACAAAGTTTTTGCTCACTTCTTTCATTCCATATTTGCTCTTCCCTGCTTCCCCAGTGAGAACCCTGGTTCCCAGCAATGTCTATATGTTTACTTGCATGTTCAATTCCTATACCCAAAATAATTTCAGAATTGCCATGCCACTACCACTATTGCAAACCTAGTAAGAACTCAAGATTTGCAGTTCTTTTTTTCTTTAGACAGAGGGTGCCTGCAAGTTATTTGAGTTAGTTTTGTTTTTTTCCCGTTCATGGGGTTACTTTTATTCATCTAAAATAGAGTTAGATTCATTCATTTATGTATTTATTATGTATTCCATTGTTTCTTTCCACAAGAATGTGAACAACCAAGGAACCCTCATTTACCCCTAACCCTCATAGGTAATCAATTTTATTAGTTTGTGGTGTACACTTCTTGTGTTTTTCTTTTCTTTATTTCTTTTTTTTTAAGATTTTATGTATTTGAGAGAGAGAGAGATAGCATGAGAGGTGGGGGTGGGGTAGAAGGAGAGGGAGAAGCAGGTTCCCCACCAGCAGGGAGTCCGATGCAGGGCTCAATCCCAGGACCCTGGGTCACGACCCAAACTGAAAGCAAACACTTAACTGACTGAGCCACCCAGACCTTGTTCTTGTGTTTTTCTTTGCAAAAATTTGCAGATACATTTGTTTTCTTATTTTCCCTTCTTCCTTGAACAAGAGGTTAGGATAGTTTAGACTATAAACTTTGCTTTCTTCACTTCATAATATATCCTGGAAATCAGTCCATATCAAATCACAGTGATATATATAATTTCTAAATTGCATGTAAGACAACATTCCATTCATTTACCAAACAATTTGCGTGCCAGCCACTGAGCTGGCTAGACATGAAGGATAGGGAAATGAGTAAATATAGTCCCTGCCCTTTATAACCTCAGACTTCATATAAGCAAAACCATCCCAGTGCTCTGGGAGCCCAGAGGAACGAGTCAGTAACAAGATGTTCAAAAGGACGGACACCTGAGCTTGAAGAATGAGAAGGTAAGTGAAGAAATAGCACCTGTAAAGGAAGAGTTGAAAAAGTACAAGGTGTGTCATGGAAATGGGAGTTTCGTGAGGCTAAAACTTAGAATTTGAGGGTAGGAGCAGGATGTGAGTGGGGGAGAAAGAAGTACCCATAATGAGGTGGCAGGGCACTCAGTGGTGCTGGGAATATCAGGAGAATGCTGGACTGTGTTATTTAGGCATCCAGGAGACATGGTCTCTAAGACACCACTCAGATCCATTTACTTCACAAGTATTTAATTGACTACCTGCATTGTGCTAGGTACTGCAGGAACAGTAACAGTAAGATCCCAACCCATAGGGAGCTGACAGAAGCAAGAAGAAAGAATTAAAGGAACTCTTAGAATGAAGTGGGGAAATTTGCCAGCCAAGCATCGGAGGGGAACCTATAACACACTAGAAGCCTGGAGTGAGATAGGAGTGAAGGAATACGTCTAAAAAGTAAGGCCAACTTTTAGCTAGGTATGTCCCTGTTTGTGGTAGAGGGTTTGGGAAGGGTTCCAATGCTAATGCCTGGAGCCAAGGGAGATTGAGGTATTGGAAGTTTCGCTGGGATTAAGACCACTGACTCATAACTGCTCTACTCCATTCTCCTCACTGCAAAGAGTGATCTTCTAAAAATGCAAATCTGACCTGTTTTCTGAGAAAGGCTCCCCACTACTTTGAGGACAATGTCCAAGTCTCTTTAAAATCTAGTCCCAGGTTCCTTACCTCTCCAGTCTCATTTTTTTCCAACCTCTTTAATCAGGCACGCTGACGTTTTAATTTGTCACATCCCCCTGCCTAGAAATTCATCACCCAACGCTGGATTTGGTGTCACTCCTATCAGCTCTCATGGTGCCCTATGCTTCACCTAATAGATCTCATCTAATTGTCTGAGTCTACCACTAGCTTGAACTCGGGGAGGACAGGAAGTGGTGAAATTACGGTTATATCCAATGCGTCTAGCCTAATGTCCTAATGCCCAACTAATTTTGAATGAATCAAGTCTGGCTTCATTGCGGAGTTGAATGAAGAATTTTGAATTAGACGTTAGGTACTTTGTCCTTCAGTCTCTCTGTTACTACAGTTTAAGGGTTCATTCTAGGGCATGGAGAAACCGTTTAGGTATTAAATCATTGAAGCTTAAAATGATTTCGGATTTAGCATAGATTTATCTGCAACATGCTGAGTTTCAAACCGATAACTTTAATGTCCATCAGTCTTTTATTAAAAGCAGAAAAGGTCAAGAGTAGCTCCTCATGAAACCTACCACCCACCTAAGAGGGACAGTCGCGTATTTAGATCCCGGATTTCTTTGCACTTAGACCCCGCCCACGGGCCCCCAAATGGCGGAAGAACTGCACGCTACGCCGTGACATCTCACACAACTGCGGAGGTATCCCGACGCTACGCCACCGGCGTAGGCGGGGCGGCCGGCTCTTCCTTCCTCACGGCTACTTCGGCTCCTCCCCCAGCGCTTCACACGCTCATTGTGAAGCGACAGCGGCTGCCAACCTTTAGGGTTGTTTGAGACCTAAAGACCCTAAATCTTTGGCGCGCGTAAGCGCCCGCGCCGCTCCTTCTCCACTCCAAGGGCTAGGGGCGCGAGATTCGCCTCTTTTTATTTTCTCTCCTGCCCGGAGCCAACCGCCCCGGTGCGCGCGCGGAGCCGCCGCTCCCTCCTCCCTGCCCCTCCCCCTTCGGGAGCTCCCGCCCGCGCGCTCCTCCTCCTCCCCTTTCCCCGGCGACGCGCACGCGCGCCAGGCCGGCTCGCGCCCTCTCGCTTTCCTCCGGCCCGCAAGACCCCCTCCCCTTCCGCCTCGCGGCGCTTCCTCGCGCCGCGGTCTTCTCTATCCACCCCCGACATCGCGGGGCTCCCCCCGCCCGCCAACGGCGGGTCCCCGGCTTCCCAGGTCCCCTCGCTTCCCGCGCTCTCCAGCGGGGGCCTAGCTCCAGCCTTCTCTCTCCCTCCCTTCCCCCTAATTCCCCTTCCGGACGCTGCCATCATGTTGAAGCCTCAGCCGCCACAACAGACCTCCCAGCCCCAGCAGCCGCCCCCCACGCAACAGGCCGTGGCCCGCCGGCCTCCCGGGGGCACGAGCCCTCCTAACGGCGGCCTGCCGGGGCCCCTGGCCTCCACCTCGGCTCCCGCAGGGCCTCCCGCGGCCGCGTCTCCCTGCCTGGGGCCTGCAGCCGCCGCCGGGAGCGGGATCCGCCGGGGAGCCGAGGGCATCTTGGCGCCGCCGCCGCCGCAGCAGCAGCAGCAACATCAGGAGAGGCCAGGGGCAACGGCTATCGGCAGCGCCAGGTGAGGAGGGGTGGGTTTCCGGGCGCTGGAGCCGAGGCTGCGAGGCGGCGGCGGCGGCTCGGCTCCGGCCCAGCGTCCGGGACCTGAGGACACCGCGCGAGCCGGGTACTTAGCCCGGTCACCTTTGCGGGGCGCCGGGGGCAGTGGGGAACTCCCGTGAGGCTGGGGGTGGGCCCCCTCAGCTCCTAACAGGTCAGAGGGAAAGGGTCCCCGGGCGGGCACCGGGACATTTGGGGGCCGTGCTCAGTTCTCAGAGCCTAGTTGGGCCTCGGGGCTCGGGCCTTAAGGGCAGGCGGGGCGCATCCCGCCAGCGCCGTCAGAACGAGGAGCTGGGGGGGTGACGAGGTGATCGGGGTCCCCGGCTCCATTACCACGAAGGGTCTCGCGGTCCCTGGCTTCAGCCAATGGGGAGTCAGCTGCGGGAAGGGGTCCCCGGTCGTAGCCAATGGAGGGGGGCGCGCGGCCCACAGTTTGGCCAATGGGGAGGGAGGGACTTGGGAGCGGGTTGCTACCTCCCCCTTCCCGGTCTGGCCAGTAGTAGGGGAGCGGAGTGGGCGGAGGGACGGAAGGAGGGACAACTGGGAGGACTGCGGACTGGGAACCTCCAGCGCGCGCGCGCTCTTCCCGTACGTGCGCGCGGATGCTCTGTCTTATGACCCGGGCATTCGTGAGGCGCGGGTAACCTATAGGGCAGGGCCTGGGAGTGTGCGTGGAGGGCTTCGCCTGGTGTTTGTGGATGAGTGGTGGACACCCCACTCGGTTTCTTCTGTGTGGGGCTTAATGGAATTGAGAGTGGCAGTACACGCAGGCGCAGTGGGTTCAGGTCGCGGGAGGGGGGAATTTTGGAGGCCCGTGGGCTTTACTGCGCATGCGCAGACCGGGCGAGGCCTCCCGGTGGATGGCTTTTGCGGCTGCGCTGTCCCCCAGCCCCACCAACGGCCCCCTCATCGCCCTCCTCAACCAACGGTTACATCAGCCAGCGAGGAGCAGGGTTACCGGGCCATCGGTGACCCCTCCTAGAGTGGGTAGCCTTGAATGAGTAAAAGAGGTGGAGAGGGTGGGTTGTAAAGGGAATACCCTCCTCCCAGAGTTTGGGATGTAAGGCTGGTGAAAATGATTGTCTTTTCTGTTTGAGAGGTAAATGTGCCTGAGCTAGGTGGTTCCGAATCTGCATGCCCTGAGCTTTCGCCTTTATGTCTAGGGTGGATTGTTGGTTAACGACTACCGTAGCATTGCTTTCTTGGAATCATGGGGCCCTGGCCCCTTGGAGAAAGTGAGAAGGTTGTGTTGCATTGACAACCATTGTCGATTGAGGTCTGTTTTAGTGGCATTTGGTAGGAATGTGTTTACTGGCTTTTACTGTCTATGCCTTTCTTCCTCTGTAAGGTGAGAGTTGGAAAATCTTGTTGATAATTGGTTTGTAGTCTAAATCAGCATTTTCACAGGGTATGTGGTTCTAGGATACCAAGTTCTTTGAAATTAATTGTATAAGAGGGATTGAATGTGTTTAAGTAACTAGTTTCTTGTTTACTTTCTCATAGGGGACAAAGCACAGGAAAGGGACCCCCACAGTCACCGGTGAGTGCCACTCCCCACCCTCAAAGTACAGAGGTACATGTGGGCATATAGGACAGATCGTGTGCACAAATAGTTGGGCTCAGAAGAGTAGGGGCCCAGCACATACAAAGTGGGTGAGTGGAGTGTGGGTATTCAGAAGGAAAGTGAGATGTTGACTGGCTATTTATTTGTCCTGTGTTTTTGGTAGGTGTTCGAGGGTGTCTACAATAATTCCAGAATGCTGCATTTTCTTACAGCTGTTGTGGTAAGTGGGTACCCAACCTCTAGGTTGTTTGAGGAATGTAATGCACCAGTTTGCTGAAGACACTCTTCTTTTTCCCCACTCTTCCAGGGCTCCACTTGTGATGTAAAGGTGAAGAATGGTACCACCTACGAAGGTATCTTCAAGACTCTGAGCTCAAAGGTTAGTGTACTCAAATTAGCTGATTTTTTGCATTTCATGGAAGGAGGGGAATGAAATAGGCTCATGGGAGATGTGAGTTGAACGGTGTTGGACAACATTGTGTTACTCATTTCTGTAGGCCTGTGCTGGAGTAGTGCTGGAAGCAATAAGAAATGTGGGTCCGATATTGGAGGGCTGAGTACTTTAATGTTAATGTTAAAATGCTAATGTTAAAATACTTAGTCCTAGGCTGATACTGAGAAGACTGTGTGACAGTGTGGTGTTGGGATGAGGTTAGAAAGAGTAAAAGAAAAACTCCTATTTTTACCGTCACGTTTCTTGATACTGATCCTTTACTGTTTGGAAATGGGACTTTTATAGTTTGAACTAGCAGTAGACGCTGTACACCGGAAAGCATCTGAGCCAGCAGGTGGCCCTCGTCGGGAAGACATTGTGGACACCATGGTGTTTAAGCCAAGCGATGTCATGCTTGTCCACTTCCGAAACGTTGACTTCAATTATGCTACTAAAGGTATCGTGTTGGGTTTTTATGTCAGAGTAGAGAGCAGAGAGCAGTTACATAATGACTTGAATTTTTTTTCCCCCTTTACCATCTTTTTTTCTGAGGAGGAGGGCCAGGATTTTCTTTTTTTTTTTTTTTTTAAAGATTTTATTTATTTGAGAGAGAGTGAGAGCATGAGAGAGATCATGAGCAGGGAGGAGGGGTAGAGGGAGAGGCAGACTCCCCGCTGAGCAGGGAGCCCGATGCAGGACTTGATCCCAGGACCCTGGGATCATGACCTGAGCCGGAGGCAGACACTTAACTGATGGAGCCACCCAAGCACCCTAGGTTTTTCTTCTTGAGAATATATCTTGCTGTCTAAGATACAGTGGGATGAATTCCAGCCTGTGTTGTGGTCCTTCATGTTTCCCTTGCTTTGCTTTCAACTCCTTGCTCCTCGTGAACTCTTCAAATGAGGCTTGTGCTGCACCACCCACACCCTTCACGCCCCCCAACCCTGACACACACTTTTCTTTGCTTCCCAACTACTTATTGGGGGTGGGGGTGTTGGAAGAGGCTTTGGAATAATCCCCTGACTCCTGATCTTCGACTCTGCCCCCACAGACAAATTCACTGATTCAGCCATTGCCATGAACTCAAAGGTGAATGGGGAGCACAAAGAGAAGGTGCTTCAGCGCTGGGAAGGGGGCGACAGCAACAGCGATGACTATGACCTCGAGTCTGACATGGTACAGCCCCCCTTCCCTGAGAGCTGGGCACTCTGCTGCCTGAGCGCAGGTTGTGGACTCTGATGTCACACTTAGAACCAAGAGTTGCTGGGCCGGGCGGGGAGGGGGAGTCTTTTCTATTGCCCGTTGATGGCTGTCAGATTCCAAATGAAAAGCTGAAGAAAATAACAAAAATACCTGTTCTCCCACCATCTGCAATTGACAGCTATTGACATTTGATTTAAGATTTTTTTTTCTTCAATTTAATAAAGCATAGACAGGATTGTAGACTGTGTAGTCTACAGTGTCCTTCCAAAAACAAGGATTTTGATTCATTTAAGATTTCTCATGAGTTAATGTATTATTATGCTATGTTTAACTTGCACAAGAATTTATTTTTCCTGCTTCTTGTTTTGGAATTTTTCTCATATTGGTATACAGATCCAGTCGTTGCTTTCAACTGTTTTGTCTAGTTTTGCTTGTATGTGTACATGTGTATATATACACAACAAAACGTATTTATGTTTTTCCTTACTGACTGGTATTTGTTGCTGTTATTTTGCTATTAAAAATAGTGCCTTACTGGACTTTAGAATATGTGTCCCAGTGTAACATATACCAAATTTTTCTAGGACGTAAACCTGAAAATGGATTCGTTAGGTCTTAAGATTTTGGTGTTACTAGTTGTTGCCAGTCTGTGCTACAATTGGTAGTACTAGTTGATATTTCTGCCAGCCTTGTTCTTATTTTTCAACTCTCAGTTTGGTCAGATTTGTGTGTTTTTCACCCTGGTGGAGGAGAATGACAGGTCATTGTTGCTTTCCTTGCTGGGTTTTAAAACATTCTCCTTCCTCCCTCCTTAGTCCAATGGATGGGACCCCAACGAAATGTTCAAGTTCAACGAGGAGAATTATGGTGTAAAGACCACCTATGACAGCAGTCTTTCTTCTTATACGTGAGTGTCTTGGTACTTCCCAGATGGTGCAGTTTGAGGCATGGGGTCGTGGCATTTGTTCATGCTTTTCTGGGCTTCCAGGTTGCCCTCTGCCCACTTCTGGTCTGCCTTGTGTCATTGTCCCCTCAAAATACCAGGCCATCTCATGGGTAGAATTAGCTACTTTCTTGTCCAGTGACCAATACTTTTCCTCTGGAACTTAAAACATATACATATGTGTGTAAGTAGTCCAGTTCAGAGATTGGCCATGTTTCCCCACATGGAACCTAGTAGATGCCCATTAAATATGTGCTGAATTGTTGAAGGGGTTAAACATCTGCACACCTGAGCTGCTGATAGGACTCATAGAAATGTTTTTCCTTTTTCTTCTCTTGTCCCCTGGCACCGGGATGGTGATCCGTGGTGGTCCTCTCAGGGTGCCCTTGGAGAAGGACAACTCAGAAGAGTTTCGTCAGCGGGAGCTGCGTGCAGCCCAGTTAGCTCGAGAGATTGAATCGAGCCCACAGTACCGCCTGCGGATCGCCATGGAGAACGATGATGGGCGCACCGAGGAGGAGAAGCACAGTGCGGTCCAGCGGCAGGGTTCAGGACGGGAGAGCCCCAGCTTGGCATCTAGGTGATTGCTGGGGGCGGCCTGCTCTGTTTGGGACTCTGTACGGGCCCTGGCTTGGGCCAAGAGCTTTGTACACTCCTGTTTAAGAAGCTTCATGCCGGGCGCCTGGGTGGCTAAGATGGTTAAGCGACTGCCTTCGGCTCAGGTCATGATCCTGGAGTCCCGGGATCGAGGCCCGCATCTGGCTCCCTGCTCAGCGAGGGGCCTGCTTCTCCCTCTAACCCTCCCCGCTCTCATGCTCTCTGTCTCTCATTCTCTCTCTCTCAAATAAATAAATAAAATCTTAAAAAAAAAAGCTTCATGCCCATGTAAGATGTAGGTTAGTACATAGTTATTCCCAATTTTCAAGTTTAAGAATTGAGGCCTAGATAAGATAAGTAGTTTGTCCAAGGTAACAAAGCTAAAATTTCGGATTTAGAAAAAAATTTTTTTGAGTTTTGATACTCTTTTTTTTTTTCCAAGTGGGTATTTTCATCCATATGTATGTTTTAACTCTTCCTTTTATGAAAACAAAAAGTACGTGATGTTTAGTAATTTGTAAAAGCGGTACCTTGAACTACATTGTGATAATCCCTTTCTCATAGGTCAGGAGTGGTAGAATTGTGGAGCTTTGGCCAGGTTGGTCAGGTCAGGGTTGACACAAAAGGTCATAAGCCTATAGCTACAGAACAGATCTTCAAGTGGGGGTAGTGCAGAAAGTTGGAGCGTGTGTGTGTGTGTGTGTGTGCGTGTTTTACACGCACACGCACTTTAGAAGGAAAGGCTTCATTTTTCCAAAGCGTGTGGGTTTTATGAAATTGACCTTACTTGAATTCTCCCCCTAGGGAGGGAAAGTATATCCCTCTACCCCAGCGAGTTCGGGAAGGCCCCCGGGGAGGAGTTCGATGCAGTAGTTCCCGGGGAGGCCGGCCTGGCCTTAGCTCTTTGCCACCTCGTGGCCCTCACCACCTTGACAGTAGCAGCCCCGGCCCAGGTTCTGAGACCCGCGGTATCAATGGAGGTGAGTTATGAAGCAGGCTTTTGGGGCGGGGGGGGCGGGTAGGGAAGAGGATAGTATGGAGGTGGGGAGGATAATGGAAAGGGGAGATGGGCTGGAAGGGTGATGCGTTGGTGATAATGTAATAGCAGATACTCTGCCTCTTTTTTCCCATCTTAAAAAAAAAAAAAAAATAGGCCCTTCCCGCATGTCCCCTAAGGCACAACGGCCTGTGAGAGGTGGTGCCAAGACTCTGTCCTCACCCAGCAGTAGACCTTCTGGAGAAGCTTCTGCTCCGCCCCCTCCTGCAGGTAAAATTTCAGCAGTTATATGAAGAAATAGAAATTGGGGGGGGGGTGCTGTAAATGTCAGTTGTTGGAATGCTGGGATGGGAGACAGTTTGAAGGTATAAGAGATGTTGGAGGGGGGTTGGATTTATGCTTCTTAGGGAAGAGTTTCCCTCATGTAGCAAAGCCAGCCCAGTTGTCTACGGGTTGTGTTTGGCTGACAGATGTCTTTTGTTTAAATTAGTTATCAGGGTGCCCGGTGGGCTCAGTCAGTGGAGCATGCGACTCTTGATCTTAGGGTTGTGAGTTCAACCCCCACATTGGGCACAGAGCTTACTTTTTTTTTTTTTAAGATTTTATTTGAGAGAGAGAGAGCACATGAGAGGGGGAGGGTCAGAGAGAGAAGCAGACTCCCTGCTGAGCAGGGAGACTGACGCGGGACTCGATCCCGGGACTCTAGGATCATGGCCTGAGCCAAAGGCAGTCGCTTAACCAACTGAGCCACACAGGCACCCGGGCACAGAGCTTACTTAAAAAAAACAAAACAAAACAAAAAAAAAACAACTTTTTAGTTGTCAACATTTTGAAACAGGAGAGAGAGAAAATTTCCAATTTTCAATTTCTTTGGAAATACAGAAAGTTCTGCAAACAACGTGTTTTACAGCATAACCCTAGTTAGCTAGGACTGAGTTATGACTCTTTGTAAACATTCCAAACTTTTATGCTGTTCATGAGTGTATCTTACCTGCTTATGTTAGCTGCCTTGCTCTTCCGGGCATTTAGGTTTGTGACCTTGCATATAAAAAAAAAGTGGATAAACTTTAGTTGGTGTTTCTGGCAGTTCCCTATGCCTCTTACTCACTGAACAGCAGTAACCATCGTACAGCTTTCCCTTTTCTTCCAGTGGGCCGGATGTACCCCCCGCGCTCTCCCAAGTCAGCTGCCCCTGCCCCAATCTCAGCTTCCTGTCCTGATGCCCCGATGAGCTCGGCAGTACCGACCTCTTCGGCTTCTATCCCTGTGACATCATCGGTTGTGGATCCTGGAGTAGGCTCCATTTCCCCAGCTTCTCCAAAGATCTCATTGGCCTCCACAGATGGTAAGAGCCAAGTAGTTGAGGGCTTGTGGACAATATGAAGTGTGCTTCTGGACAGAAGGACCTTCAGGCATATGTCTCTTCTTGCTCAGTAAAAGAACTTCCAGCCAAGGAACCTGGGAGAACTCTGGAGTCCCAGGAGCTGTCCCGGATAGCTGGGAAAGGTGAGGATTGGCTTTTTTGTTTGTTTTTTATTGTTAAGATTTTATTTGACAGAGAGAGAGTGGGTACAAGCAAGGGGAGAGGGAGAAGCAGGCTCCCCGCCGAGCAGGGATCCCTGGACCCTAGGATCACAACCTGAGCCGAAGGCATATGCTTAACCGATTGAGCCACCGAGACGCCCCCTCCCTTTTTTTTGTTGTGTTGTTTTGTTTTGTTTTTGTTTGTTCTTCTGAGGTGTAATGTCCTTTTGATTAGGGGAGCACTTCAGGTTGTAACGAGTTGTGGGGGTTCAGAAACAGTGTTTTGTCAGTTGTGTAATCCTAATTTGTCCTATAGGAATCTCAAGAGCTTTTTTTTTTTTCCTCTTGTTTTCTTTGTCCGTTGGGGTACTGGTATCGTAGCCACCTTTGAGAAAAAAAATGTGATTTTTCTCCTTTTTTTTCCTGTTTCTCATAGTCCCTGGCCTTCAGAATGAACAGAAACGCTTTCAACTGGAAGAACTGAGAAAGTTTGGGGCCCAGTTTAAGGTGAGAGGAGTGTGGGAGTGAGCCAGGGTGTTAGGATGAAGAGGGCTGGAGGGGGCTTATAGAAGCCCAGGACTAGAACCAGGTGGGATAGAAGAGATGAGCAAGCAAGGGTGTGAGAAGGGGTCCGGGTCAGCTGTCCAGGTACTGTATGTGTGCTGCTCTCCTTCCAGCTGCAGCCCAGTAGCTCCCCTGAGACCAGCCTGGATCCTTTTCCTCCCCGGATCTTAAAGGAGGAGGCCAAAGGGAAAGAGAAGGAAGTTGACGGTTTATTAACATCAGAGCCAGTGGGGTCCCCAGTCTCCTCGAAGACAGAGTCCGTATCGGATAAAGAGGACAAGCCGCCCCTGCCACCGGCAGGAGGCACAGAGGGGCCCGAGCAGCCCCCGCCACCTTGCCCAAGCCAAACTGGCAGCCCCCCGGTGGGCCTCATCAAGGGAGACGACAAGGATGAGGGCCCGGTCGCTGAGTGAGTAGGATGGGGAGCTGGGTGGGATGTCAGGTGGGGAGAGGGGCAAGCCATGAGGATTGATTTTCTTCCTTTCTCACAGACAAGTGAAGAAGTCAACACTGAACCCCAACGCCAAGGAGTTCAATCCCACAAAGCCTCTGCTGTCTGTGGTGAGATGGGATGGGCAGATGTGGATTGGTTTTCCCGAGGGAGGCTTGGGAGTGGGGTGATAGAGCCCGGGGGAGGCACTCTGAAAGTTGGGCTGCTCTGGGGAAAACAGGTGTCAGGTTTGGGGCCGAGGGGTCATGATGTGTCTGGTGTTTATGTGTTTCTCTCTGAGGTTTAGCATTCCTGTGTTGGGGTAGTTGTGAGCATGGGTTTCATTTAGGCCCTTGATTTGGCTTGAACTCTCCTGTATTAAAAAAAAAAAAAGGAAAGCTTGGTGATCATGGACAAGCCATTTAACTTTTCTGTCTTGATTTCCGTACCTCTAATTTGAGAATACCCGTCTCATGTGGTCCGATGTGAGGCTTGACCAAGACGCAGGGTAGAATGTGTCTGGCAGGCAGCACTCCGAATGCTGTGTTGCTAGGAGAGGCATACAAAAACCAAACCTCGTGTCCTCGCTTGTCTCTTACAGAATAAATCCACCAGTACCCCAACTTCTCCGGGGCCCCGAACTCATTCAACTCCCTCCATCCCGGTGCTGACAGCAGGCCAGAGTGGGCTCTACAGCCCCCAGTACATTTCCTACATACCTCAGATCCACATGGGACCAGCTGTTCAGGTAAGAGGAAAAACTGAGCAGCTCCAGGTTAAGAGGCTGGGTTGGCCTGCTGAGGACCAGGTCAGGCCTGTTGAGGGCATTTGTGAGCAAGCTGTTTAGCTTCGTCTGTGTTCTTGTCCCTAGGCACCTCAGATGTATCCATACCCTGTATCCAATTCAGTGCCTGGACAGCAGGGCAAGTACCGGGGAGCAAAAGGTGAGCAGAGTTGGCAGGGCTGGTCGGCTGGGCTGCCAGGTTGCCTCCTGGCAGATGGAGCTTGAGCTCAGCACTCTTTCCCCCACCCCCCAGGCTCCCTGCCCCCCCAGCGCTCGGACCAACACCAGCCAGCCTCAGCCCCTCCGATGATGCAGGCCGCCGCCGCTGCTGGCCCACCTCTGGTGGCTGCCACGCCGTACTCTTCCTACATCCCTTACACCCCACAGCAGTTCCCGGGCCAGCCCGCCATGATGCAGCCCATGGCCCACTACCCCTCACAGGTAACTGAGGCACGGCGCGGGGCCGGGGAGGGCAGAGCGAAGGGTCACCTCTGTTCCATCACCCAGACTCAGGCTTCCATCCTGGCTCTGGTAGGATCCGTAGCAAGGCACCGCTACTCTCTGAAGCATAGGTCACGTAGCATCTCCTGGCTGGGGTCGTGAACTGGAAACAGGGTGGTTGTGACAAGGACGGGGCGGTGCTGTGCTGCACGGGTTCTCAGGCAGCAGGATGTGCCGACTGCTTCTCTCCTTGCCCCTCCAGCCGGTGTTTGCCCCCATGCTTCAGAGCAACCCACGCATGCTGACGTCGGGGAGCCATCCCCAGGCCATTGTGTCGTCCTCCACCCCTCAGTACCCTTCTGCAGAGCAGCCCACCCCGCAAGCCCTCTATGGTGAGTTTTGTGCCTTTCTTCTCGGACCTTGCTCCTTAGCCCCTTCTGGTGTGCTTGGCACTGATTCTCTCCCTCTTTCCTGCTGTAGCCACTGTTCATCAGTCCTATCCACACCATGCTACGCAGCTCCATGCCCACCAGCCGCAGCCGGCCACCACGCCTACTGGGAGCCAGCCGCAGTCCCAGCATGCGGCCCCCAGTCCCGTCCAGGTGCCTGCCATGGGAGATCCGAGTGGTTGGGGCAGGAACGGGTGGCTGGGAGAGGGGGATAGAGTTTGAGGGATCATTCCCCAGCGGGAGAGGATCAGGGATCAGTGGGTGGTAGGCCTGGTACCTGAGGAGTGGGGTGGCACTCACCCTTCCCCTCCCCCTAACAGCACCAGGCGGGGCAGGCCCCACACCTGGGCAGTGGACAGCCACAGCAGAATCTGTACCACCCAGGGGCCCTGACAGGCACGCCGCCTTCTCTGCCACCGGGACCTTCTGCCCAGTCCCCTCAGAGCAGCTTCCCCCAACCAGCCGCTGTATATGCCATCCATGCCCATCAGCAGCTGCCCCACGGCTTCACCAACATGGCCCATGTTACCCAGGTAAGAACCCCAGGGACTTGCTTCCTGGGGCTGTCCTGTTCCTGAATCCTTGTGCTCCTTTCTTGAGTGCTCTTAACACCAGGATTCTCAGAGCCCACGTCTAGTTTCTGGGGTGCTCACAGCTGTTTTTTCTCTGCAGGCCCATGTCCAAACTGGAATCACAGCAGCCCCGCCCCCTCACCCTGGGGCTCCCCACCCGCCCCAGGTGATGCTGCTGCACCCACCCCAGAGCCATGGGGGCCCCCCCCCAAGGCGCGGTGCCCCAGAGTGGGGTGCCTGCACTCTCAGCTTCCACACCCTCACCCTACCCCTACATCGGACACCCCCAAGGTGAGCAGCCTGGCCAGGCGCCTGGATTTCCAGGAGGAGCCGATGACAGGATTCGTGAGTTCTCGTTAGCTGGGGGAATTTGGCATGGAAGAGCTGACGGGCTGCAGGTGGGGCAGGATGCACGGGTTCTGGGAGGGGAGTGAGGGGTCTTGGAGGCAGGGCTGTCCCACAGGGCGCCCGCCGACCTGCACCTGTCTGTGAAGTATGTAGGGTGGGCAGAAGCCACAGTCGCCGCCGCCAGGGGCTTGCTCCTGGCTCTGTCCTTTGCTTCCCTCCGTCCTCGCTCAGTTGTGATCCAGCAGCCCCCCTCCCCACTGCCTCCCCAGCTCTCAGTGACCCCGACTGTCTCCTGACTTAGCCGAGGTAAGGTCAGCGCAGCAGACAGGGCCAGGCTGGGGTGTGGGGGGCTGAGCTGGGCACACGAGTAAGGGCTCTCGCTCACTGGGAAACAGCGATTGATCTGTGCTTCTGACAGCCCCATGAGACACCTTGAGGAGGCCGCTCCTACCCAAACACTCCCCCCACACCCCACACTGGACGGCATTGGATGAAGGGACAGCTGCTTGGGTTCTAATGCTCCTGCTCTCTTCTCTTTCCCCTCCAACCAGTTCAATCTCATCCCTCCCAGCAGCTCCCCTTCCACCCCCCGGGGAACTGAAGATTGTCCTGGCCGCGACCTGAGACCTCCATGAGTGGAGGGAAGAGTGATCTATGTCTCTTCCCCCAGCAGCTCGGACCAGTCCCAGCCCCCCAATCCCCCCTTTCCCCTGGGGGAGCTGGGGAATTCCTGCCAAGCACCTTGAAGGGGAGGGGCCTTGAAGTGGGCAGGGCCAGGGTCCAGCGGGGGTGGGGGGTTCCTGCTCTGCCCCTGCCCATCCCCACCCCATCTTGCCCTCCCATCCTCTCATCTATCCCCCGCTGGAGACGGAAGATCTTTTATTTTCTATTATTTATAACCTCAGACTTGGGCCCCCGTTTCTTTCTTCCCCATTAACTTGAGTGAACTGCGTGAGAGACAGACAGACAGATGCCCCACAAGGATGGTTGGACAAGGACTTTTACTTTTTATTACATAAAAATATTAAAAAAAATTAAAAAAAATAAAATTTTAAACTAACTTAACCTGCCTCTGGTTTCCAGTGGAGAACAGCAAGATGGTAGCTGTCTAGTCTTGGGGGCGCTGAGGTGGCTCCCAGCAGTGGGGAAAATGCAGCAGAGCAGGCGGAGGATGCTTGCTGCCCTGTCACTGAGTGACTTTGCTCTCACCTTGATGTTGGCCTCATCGTAAGGTGCAATTTCAAGTTTTTATTGCTAGTGTAAGTAGTTCTTTAATTTCTTCTTTTAGCACCAAAAGGCACGTTAGTGGTTTTGGCCACTGGAAACAAAGGCCTGCCCAGAGCCCAGCTGAGAGGTGGTGTGTGCAGGTGGGCACTGCAAAGATGAAGCCACTGGTAAGGGGAGATGGCTGGCATGAGGAGCCTGCTTTAGGGGAGCAGGAGCTAAACCGGGGCTAAATGGCACAAACGGAAGAGCCAGGTATGAGATGTAGAAATGACATGTTGTGGAAGTGTTTGGTTATTTCCAAGGAAACATGGCAGTTTTTTACTGCATGTCTTGGCCTTGGTTTTCTTGTCTTTTAAGTAAAGATCATTTTCCTCTTTGAGCATCGAGGGGGTAGGGCTGGTACTCGTGGGTAGATGGGGGTTTCAGATGGGACCAAAGCCAGAGAATACAGGCTGAGAGCAGGGCAGGAAAAGTGAAGGGTGATGTACTGGGGAAGAGATCCAAGGTGTGAGGGTCTGAAATCAAGTAATGGGTGGGCATGATGGGGCGGCCGGCGTATGTAGAGATAAGCGAGAACAAATGTGCAGGGTTGTAGAAGAGCTCTCCTAAAGGATGGCAGTTGCAACTGGGGGGCAGTGATGGAAAAAGCAAGAAAGCCAGCCAGGTTCAGGACATCTCAGGTGCAGTTGGAGCGGTCTCCCCGATAACAGAGATGGGACTGCAGTGCTTACCGGGTGGTCCTGAGGCTTAGGAATCTCTTGAAACCTTCTGGCCTCACCTCAGACACCGAGGCTAAAGCAAACCTGCCCTATCACAATTTTTTGTGTGTGAAGCTCTTCCTTATGTCCTTTTCTTGAGCCCACTTCTCTGCCTCTGCTGTGAAGCCGGATTTGTGACTCAAAACAGCTCTCGGGATGGGCCTAAGAGCCTCCCCACTCTGGGTGGCTGGTCAGTGCTGAATATACTCATTTGTCAGGAAGCAAGATTGAAAGAGGTGCTTGTTAATCCCTGCTGAAAGTTAACCTTTTGGTGTCCTGGCCAGTCATTTCAAGTTTTTAAACACCTATTCAGCATTTTACTCCCTACGCGTCTGATAAGTCCTTAAGTCTCAGAAAACTTCAGTTTATAATTTCGCACTCCTGTGTTTGGAATTGGTGATATATAGGGGGGACAACCCATCGAGCACAGAGACGTAATTAAAAAGAGGGTCCTGATCAAAGTGCTGGATGTTGGTTCTAGAGGTGAGACAACAGTCCCCAGTATCCAAGAGCTTAGACAAAGGCAAGTAGACATTAATGGCCTTCGTAACTACTCCAAGAGGACAGGAGGTGGGTTTGGCATCTCTGAACCCATGCTTGCTCCAAGGGCGAAGTTCCCAGTTTCTCCCATAGGACAGCCAACAATCCTACTTAGTGTTTTGCTAGGCAGCCACACCAACTTCACTAGACCAACTTTCCTCCTTTTCTCAAGCTGTCATTGTGACAGCTTTAAGATAGCTTTTCCAAACAGCACCACAGAGATAAAAACGAGGGATATGTTCTAGGCCCTGTGTTTCTACCCCCCCATCCTCTCCAACTTTAAGACAAAGAACACAAGATACAACGTCCCTCACTATTCACAGAACAGTTTATTGACCTACCTCACCTGGCAGGCCCTGGGGCCCCTCCTGGCCAGGGGAAGTGTCAGGCTAGCTGCACTGCTGGACGGCAGCCTGTGCCCTAGGGAGGGGGCTGCAGCAGCAGCAAAGAACATGGGCTAGCGCGGCCTTCAACGCTAGAGTCAGAGCAAGAGTCCAGACTCAACTCCACTTGAGGTTCTTGTCTTCCTCTGTCATGGCTGGCGTCTCAGTGACAAGGCCAGTGCCGATGGTCCGGTTGCCATCTCGCAGGGTGAAACGCTGGCCTTTTTCTAAGATCATGGGCTGCCGCAAGACAAGGCTGACCTTCAGGTCCTCCCCGGGCATGGCAAGCTCCTGGTGGGGGGCAGAGACAGGGTTCATGCGTGGCCCTCAGGGCACCTTGTTCCCAACTGTTTGCTGCCTACCAAGGTTAAAAGGGAATCCATGTGAACTAAGCATTTCTAGAAAGTTACGGGAAATGCAGCAGGGGGATTTTTTGTGGAGATAGCTGCACCCCAGCTGCCAGGCAGATGCAAACTGTATGTGAAGACAGGAAAGGACTTGTGACCAGTGTTCCTAAATGTTCACTCTTGAAAAGAAAGTCAAGGAAACTATGGGTCATGCAGGTTTCTTTGTCACAAGACTTCTCTGAGCCATTGTGTACGGTGGAACTCTCAACAGGGAATCCTTTTCTGGGAGATATGTGGGTAAATGCTAGCATGGGTAAGTTTTTTGGGTTTTTTTTGTTTTTTTTTTTTTTACCTACTTCCGCCCAGGGAATACTGGGGGGAGACTCACTCCCCCCAAACCCACCCAGCCAGACCCTTCCATCACTAGCTTTGTCTACAGCAGTCAATGCAAAGTCACCCATGTTGGCACAGCTCTGGAACTGAGAGTGAGGGAGCTGATGTGAGAATGTCGCTTCCACTCCTTCACGTTCCCTATATCCATACCTTCCCTGGCGGTAAGATGACACGACAGGCCATGTCCCAAGTCAGGGAGAACATGACAGGCATGAAGTGGGACACAAAAGGCTTGTGGCGGCCACCTTCCTCTTTGCTGAGGATATAAACCTGGAAAAAAGAGAACAACAAGGGTGAAGCTATGCTGGCCGGAAAGGCTGCCTATGCATGGGATGGTCTGGCTAAGCGCTGCCCATCGCCTGGAGCCCTCACCTGGGCCTCCACCTTCTGGTGGGGCTGGATGGACCCTGGCTTGGCCATGACCAGGCCACGCCTCAGGTCCTCTCGCTTCAAGCCTCGGACCAGGGCTCCAAGGTTGTCGCCTGCCTCTGCCCTCTCCAGACTCTTGTGGAACATCTCAATGCCTAGGAGGGAAGAGCAGAGACAAGGGAGAAGGATCTAGAGCAGAGGGGAAGGCATTAAGGATCTGCAAGGGAAATCCTGGAGCCAGCCCCTGGGTCCCACGGCGTCTTCCTATACCTGTCACCACAGTGCGAATGTTCTTGCTGTGTCCCAAGAACTCACACTCATCCCCTTTCTTCAAAATGCCACGCTCTAGTGTACCTGTCACCACTGTGCCCCGGCCTGGAAAGCAATAGGACAGGAAGGACATCAGGGACCCTGGACCAGGCTATATAGCTAGAGAGGAGTGCAAGTGAACACGGTCCTCACCAGGAATAGAGTAAACGGACTCTACAGGCAGCAGGAAAGGTTTCTCCAGGTCTCGGGTGGGTACCGGGATATAAGTGTCCACGGCATCCAGCAGCTTCTGCACAGACTTCACGCCTAGCTCAGGATCACGTTGCTATGGGGGAGGTGACAGGACTCTGAAATTTTCATTCTCCTCTTACTGAGAGACACTCCCCAGGCTCAGAGCAGAACTCTGGACGCCCATCCAGCCCCATCCTCTGCCAGTTAACAGCCCCTGCCTGACCCCGCCTTCACCTCAAGGGCACAGAGGGCAGAGCCTATGATGACCGGGGTCTCCTCCCCTTTGTAGCCAAACTCAGTGAGCAGTTCCCGGATCTCCAGCTCAACCAGCTCCACCATCTCAGAGTCCTGGACAGCATCTGCTTTGTTCACGTACACCACGACATGCTCTACTCCAATCTGTGGATGGCAAAGAGGCAGAAGTGGTGTCCTGAATGGACCAACTCCCCACTCTTCCTCTTTCCACCCTTCCCCAGGCTCCGAGTACCTGTTTGGCCAGTAATAGATGCTCTCGGGTCTGGGGCATAGGGCCGTCATTGGCCGCCACCACCAGGATGCAGCCGTCGAGGGGGGCGGTGCCTGTGATCATATTCTGGGTAGAAGGATAGGAAACAGCCTAGTTCAAGGACCTCCTCAGCTCCACATCCATCTAGCCAAGCACAGCAGCTGAGGCCCACCTTTCTCTGTCATCTTACCACCCACTTTAAGTGGTCATGCCCAGAAATCCATGACCTCAACCCATGCATCTTGCGTATCCTAACTTCCCCACAAGTCCCAACATTTTTTCTGGCAGGAGACAGTCCATGGCTCTGTACCCAGCAATTCTCTCACCTTAACGTAATCTGCGTGACCTGGGCAGTCGGTGTGGGCATAGTGGCGGGCTGCAGTGCTATACTCCACATGAGCCGCATTAATTGTGATTCCACGGGCTCGCTCTTCAGGAGCATTGTCAATCTCTTCGTATTTCTTAAATTTCGCTCCGCCTCCTTCCGCTAAAACTAAGGGGAAGGAGGAGAATAAATCAGATAAAGTTCCAAAGGCAGAGGCAGGGCTCAAGCCACACCCGAGTCCCTCCCACCTACCATGCAAAGGACAGTCTGGGAGAATAATGCGTCCGTGACCCCCTCCCTCAGTTCCTGCAGCGGGTGTGACTGGGTCAGAAGGAAATGTTAAAGGGCCTCTAGGTCCAGCCCTGCGACTTCTCTAGGATAAGGCCTCTGCTTACAGGACACTGGCCACGGCTAGAGAGAAGCCATTCGGGCTCCCCAGCTTATGCAACACAAAATCTTTCAGGCTCAGGGCAAATGCATCATCCAATCCAGCGCCCGGGGCCACAACACCTCCAGCAGCACCTCCCAGGCTCCAGGTCCCGCCAGCAGAGCGGGCGCTTCCGGACGCCACCGACCCATCCCCGCTTACTCTTCGTGATGGCCGCGGTCAGTGTGGTCTTGCCGTGGTCCACATGGCCGATGGTGCCCACGTTCACATGGGGCTTGTCGCGCACATAGGTCTTCTTGGCCTCCACGGCCAGGCCACGGCACAAGTGAGGCAGTGCCGGCACCTTCAGCGGCCGCAACACACTCTGCAGCAGTGGGCTCGGGCCGGCGCCGAGACCTGCCGGGGCATAGGCTTGGAGTCAGGGCGCCGGTCCGAGCCTGGCCGCTCCCGACGACCCCCACGTGGCCCCGCGCCGCCATTGCCTCCCTCACCCCCTCACCACTCAAGAGGGGCGTCGCGCGCAGCAGGGTGGTGGCCGCCATCGTGGTCGTACTCGCGCCCCGAGTATCGGGCCCCGGGCGCCCGCGCGTGCAAAAAGGAAAGGGCACGGGCGACTGGAGGCCACTTCCGGCGGAAGTGAAGGCCCGGAGGTCAAGTCTGGGTCCCTCTAGCCTCCAGTTTTTATAGCCATCTTACGACTTCCGGGCGTGGGACCAAAGACGACACCAGGAAGGGGCTGGTGTCCCCGGGGCGGGGAAGGAGGGAGACGGTTTCCAAGGCGCTCTCGGGCCTCGCGGACTGACGCGAGCGAAGCAGTTCTCTCTGGCGGCGCGGGGAAGCGACGTGAAGCATCCCGTCGCGTACCAGCGCCCCGGAGGCTCGTGGGCGTTGTAGTCCCCAGGGCGGCGCGCTGTGTTTGCGTTGGGCGTGGGAGTCAGGTAGGGGCTAGGCCGGGCCCGGAGTGAGGGTGCCGGTCTCCCGGAGGCCGAGGCGGCGGCTCCGGCGCGGCCTGCTCGGGAGCGTCCTGGCCCAGAGCCTCCTGGAGTCCGACCCACTGCGCGGGTCTGGCGAGAGATCTGGTGGCCGTTGAGCTGCCGCTGGAGGTAGGACCAGGCCCTACGGCCAGACGGAGGAGGAGACGGGCCTGGGAGCCATTCGCGGGTGGGGCACAAGTGTGACCCATCTCTCCGCGGAGCCTTTGTTTCCTTATCTGTAAAATGGAAACAGTAGTATCTACCTCATGGGGAGATTCTGACGTCTGGCTCTGAGAGGAAATGAGCTGGACAAGAGGCGGGAATGGAGGCCAGGGGCCTCCAGGCCCCACAGCCCCTGACCCTCAAATACCGTCCTCCTGGCTCACAGCCTGCGGGGACAGACAGCTTTGCCGTCCACCCCTGGGTCCCCTCAGCAGGCCAGGGACTAATTCCCTTGATCGTCGCCCCACCCGCCCACCTGGTTATACAGATGATACCCAGGGTGAGGGACCAGCCTCAGGTGCCTATGTAGGCAGCCTGAGTCTTGTTCCCGCGGTGGCCCCAGCACTGAACACAGGGCGGGGCACCCAGCGAGCGCTCAGGGAATTTGTGTTGACTGAATGAGTGAGTGCAAGGCTAGCATATGACCTTTAACTTTCACATCCGTCATCTCATCACCCTGGGATGAGAACAGCAGCTGCTTAACCCTGATTGATGTTTCCCGAACTCATCAGATCCTAAGACTCCATGGACGGTTTTCGGTTTCAAATAGATGCCCCGATTCCTCCCTTGAAGATTATGATTCAGGAGGGTCTGAGTACAGACAGGGAAGCTGTATTTATTTATAACACACACGGTTTCCCAAGCTCGAAGGAGTTTGGGAAACTCAGAGCCAGAGCTCTGCATGGATCAGGCGTTGTGCAAATGCTTCGTATTGGTTCACATTCAGCGCACCCTGTGTTACCCTGTGTGGTTGGAGCCATTATTTCCCCCATTTTACAGGTGAGAAAACGGAGCATCGGGGTGATTTAGGAACCCAATACAAGTGAACTCCAAAAAAGTGCACCTGGTACTGTCATTCAGCTTCAATTTACTGCTCAGATAAAATGAAGAACCTGCTAAGACTTCTGTCCTCCTGGCCTTCCAGCCCATCAGCTCTGCTTAGGAAGGGCTGGTGCCATAACTAAAGTTTTCTTTGTCTTTATCCTGTACCTCAGTCACTCCATTCCTGGGAATTTCTTCTAAGACACTATTGGCCATTATCAAAATGTAAGATTTTTGGGATGTGGTACTTGAACGAATGCTTTCTATTTTAGTGGTGCTATATTTATTTGGATGTGTATTAGTTTGAAAAAAAAACTGGGACGGCAAATACTGAGATTAAAAAATGAGTCAATTTAAAAAACAGCATGTGGTAGGTGATGTTATGGGTAGTATAAACATATGGCAGATTTGGGGGCAGGTGGTACATGAATGACTGAAATTTGAGAAACACAGCAGTCAGAAAAGAGTCCAGAGGGAGAGGATTTTTTTGTAGAGCTGTTGACTAGCATCCTGTGTAATAGCTGGAAGTCTTGATTTACAGACAACAGGATTTACATTGGCTGGCTTACGCAGAAGAAGGATTTGTTTAAGGGTTTGAGTAAGCTTACAGAATTGTGGAACGGGCTGGAGAAACAGCTCCCAAGCCTTAGAACTGATCTGACGTGGGAAGAAGAGCACTGCTCCAGCCACCGCCACCAAACACTAATGGCCAGGACTTAGATTCGTCCACGACACCTCCTGTTCATGGCACCAAAGCCACTTCTGCCTCAAGAAAGTGGCCTTCCCTCCCTCCCGACCTTCCTGCCCCCAAAGTCAGCCAAATCCAAAGCCTCCCTTGAATGCGTCTGATTGGAGAAGCCTGGATCGTCCTGTGTCCGTGTCTTGTACAGAGGAGCCTGAGACAAGCCGCCTAACTTTGATGTTGGAGAGCAGGAGTGCTAGCGGGAATCTCCCCAGATGCCCAGCCATGCCCGGGACCCTAGCACAGGGAACACACGTCCAGCATGTGGCTGTGGGAGTGTCAATTTGGCATAGCCACTGGATGAGGTAGTAATAGAGTGGCTCAGAGTTGCAGAGACCAGGGGAGCCAACCACGTGGGAAAATGCCTTGTGAGCAGTGCCAGATGAAGAAGGAAGGCTGGCTGCTGTAGAAACATAGCAGGTGGGGGTTGGTGGGACGGACGGGCGGGCGGGCTGACGACGAAAGGAAGTGGAGAACAATCAGGGCTTTAGGAGGCTGTGAATTTGCTTGGAGAAAGATTTTTCTCTTTCAGACATGTATTTTGGGTGATTATAGTTAAAGACACGTTCTTTGTGCAGAATCTTGAACTCTTTAAAAAAGACGCTCTTGAAATCAAATGGTCGTTTGGGTCCCCCCTAGCAGTCTGTGCCTTTGAGCTCCTGCTTAACAGCCATTTTTCCATCTTCCTACAGACAGGGCCCTGATTTTGTTCACAGTGGTCCTTTCCCCGGTTCCGGGAATAAATCCTGACAGGCCGCGTCTACTTCTGGTGGTCCTATTCTCCTTGCCAGGGGCTTTGTTTAGGGTTGGGTGTGTGACTTCTTTGGGGCCCGTGATTGGTAAGAGGAGATCTCCTTTGGGGGGCTTCCAGGAAAGGGTCCCTCGCCCTCAAGGAGACACAAAAGAGATGAACTGCCTTCTGACTCTGGGTGTTCTTGGGTCTGGATGCAAAGCCTGGAACTACTCTGCCCATCTTATTTCCGGTCAGTGATGAAGCCAAAATCCAGAAGAGGGCAAAACAGGATTTTAGAAGACTGGACTCCTTGTGGTGTGATGATGAATGTCATTATTTAAGCCAGACTATGTCACAATTGTCTGTTTGCATTCAGATACCTCCTAACAGATAACCTGTCTTACACCACTTGATACCCTGAGACATATTTCTTGGTTTCATTTGTCTGAGACCAAGTGGCCTGAGTAGGGCCAGGACTGGACTTCCTTTATGTCTGTATCCTCTGCCTGGCCACCGTAGGGCTCTGCATGATTGCCCCTGACCTATTAATGAGCTTTCCAAACTGAAGGGTGCCATCAAGTGGTGCTACAGACCTAACATGTCCAAAACAGGACCCTTCATTCTCTCCCAGGCTCTGCTTCCACCTCTGAATAAACAATGCCACTTTTTTCCCTTCCCCTCAACCCCGATTACCCAGTCCTGCTGGTTCTCTCTCCGAAATATATCTCAGATGTGACCATTTGTCTGTCTCCACTGCTGACCCTGTGGCTCAGTCTGGGATCATCTGTCACCTAGGTTAAGCTCACAGCCTCTACAGTGGATCTCCAAGCTCCTGTTCTTCTCAATACCTGGCAAATCCATCCCCACACAGTAGTTACATCAGCCTTTAAAATGTGGATCAGAAGGGGCACTTGGCTGGCTCAGTCAGTAGAGCATGTGACTTTTTTTTTTAAGATTTTTAATTTTATTTGAGAGACAGAGCATGAGCCAGGGGATTGGGGGGAGGAAGGGGCAGAAGGAGAGGGAGAAGCAGGCTCCTTGCTTGATCCCAGGACTCTGGGATCATGACCTGAGCCAAAGGCAAATGCTTAATCAACTGAGCCACCCAGGCGCCCCGAGCATGCGACTCTTGATCTTCGGGTTGTGAAATCGAGGCCCACGTTGGGTGTAGAGATTAATTAAATAAATAAAATAAAGATTTCCTTTCAAATTTTAATTAATTAAGCGTGGATCAGAAATTACACTCCCCCCCCCCGCCCCGTGACTCCTTACTACACTTAGAATAAAATCCCAACTCCTTTAAATGGGCAAACTGTATGGCAGGTGAATTATATCTCAATAAAACTGTTATATAAAAATCCAGACGCCTCCCTGTGGCCCACCTCTTTGACCCAATCTCGGATGATTTTCCTCTCACTCGCCCCCAACCACACTGGCCATTCTGTTCTGCGAATATCCCACAATTGTTTCTACCTCGGGCTCTTTGCAGATGTTCTTCCTTCTCCCTGGAGTGTCCTTCCTGGTACCTTTCCCCAGGGCTGTTTCTTCCAGCCTTCAGCTCCACCTCAGATGTCACCTATCTAAAGTAGCGCCCCCCCCCCCCAGCCACCCTCTTCTCAATGGTCCTTTTTGGTTTTCTTCATAGCACCTAAATGTCTAAAATTATCTTATTAGTTCACTTGTTGGTTGGTTTGTGGGATTGTTTCTGTTTCCTGTCTTACCAGGTCATGACAGTAAGAGCTTTTTTTTTTTTTTTCAACTCTATGAACAGTGCCCAACTAACACTCAGGTGAAGAAGTATTTGTTAAAGGAATTATGTGTTGAATTATTTCAGTTGAGTATGTGTGTTGGGCTTATTAAGTGTCCTGATGTTTTCGATGGAAAGCAAATTTTGTATTCACATTCATGTTAAAAATAAAGGTGAACCATTGTTAACTTTTGAAGTCTCTGCTTTATTATCCATAAAGTGGGGATGGAGTGAGGAAGTTAAACTTTATGATCTCTAAGATTTCTTGCAGCTCTAACCTCTAAAGGGAGGGTGGGGTCTGGTGTCATTGAAATGAGTACTAGGCTGGTCAGCAACTTAGTGGCAAATGGGGCACTAGGGCCCAGAGCTTTGTCCTCAGTGCCCCTCAACAGACTTATTGGAAGTTCAAGGGCATTTTTCACTCTTCCCCACCAGCCAGCCTTGGCAGTGCCTCCTTAGAAATCTCACTGGCTATTGTCCTTGGTACTAACCCCATTGCACTGCCCTGGCCAGGTCAGCATCAGCCCCTCCTGGACCACAGCACCCGTCTCCTCTCTGCTTCTGGTTCCCACCCGCCCCCATACTGGCTCTGGATTTCCTTCCAAACAGAAATC